AATTACATTTTGACCCATGTTGTTAACTTCCAGTTATTACAGTTTAGTCCCTGCACTGTAAATTTGCACTTATTACAGTTTGGTCCCTGGACTTTAAATTTGCAATTACTACAGTTTGGTCCCTGGACTTTAAAGTACAGTTATAGCCCTTGTACATAATTTGTTGTTGTAGAAATGGTCCCTGTAAGTCACCATATATACAATTTTGACAACAAATGCAAATCTATGAAGAAAAACTATATCAAAATATTTATTTATGTCACGTACTAACAAAAAATCCAATAATCTGAACCCTAATTAAGAACATTTGCAACTAAAGCTAACAGGATTGTCAAAAGGACAAACTAATTCACGATCCTTTTCATGTAGACCCCGAAACTCCCAAACCGCCTGGCGAGTTTGTATTCTTTCCACATCTCCTAAAATGAATAAAAATTTTATTTTCATTGTTATTATTGTTGCCGTTTAATGAAAAAAAATAGAAATTTGAGTAACCTTTTAGATGTGGATGTTTCACTTCGATCGAAACTTTGAGATGCTAGATTTTTACATGTCTTTTCATGGTGTCCATACTCTCCACATCATGGACACTTGTGCCTTCTTTTAGACTCATATGATGATTTAATTCTATTTTTTATTGGTCGGCCAGGTGGGCGTTTGATAATAGGTGGTGATATTTTCTCCCCATTTTTTTGCGCCCATTGATCCTGTCCGGGCATCGGAGCAATTTGAAAAGCATATGCAGCTTAAAGTTCTCTATAGTGAAATAGGGATCAACATATTTGTCCCAGTTAGCATCCCTTGTAAAAGCAATAAAAACTTATGCATGTACACATGGTCGGCCTTGAACTTGCCATAGTCGACAACTACATTTTATTTCATCTAGGTTGACCTCCCAACGTGCTCCCTTGTACTTCACTTCAGCTTGATTCTTACAACTTCTAGTGACTTCATATTCACCCAAGTTCTATATGAAAAATTAAAAACATATATATTTTAGATATATATGTATTATTTGAAGTAAAAACTAAAACAAATATAGTCATTCAACTGAATTATTTAACATGCTTACAATAGCGATGTTGTTGAGATGGTTTTGAGGAATAGGAACCAATACGCAATTCCATGTATTCACTAAATTCCTTTTCTTATCAAACCGTCTCATAATCTTTTCCCTAACTGCGTCAAGGAGATCAAGCACGGGTTTATAGCACAATTTACCAATCCAATAATTAAATGTTTCTGAAATACTATTAGTGATGTAATCACACTTGGAAGTAGTACCAAACTTGCTTCTACTCCATATTTTTTTGTGGTGGGTATTTAGATATGCAATGGCATCTTCATTTTTATCACTAATTTCCTTTAATAATCTGTCATGCTTGGTAGGACATAGTTTGGTATTAAAGAAGTCACCACGAAAGTGTTTCTTGAAGTTGCTATAAAAGTGCCTTATACATTCTCTATGCTCAACATTAGGATAAACATTCATCATGGCTACTTCTGACCCTTTTTGCATGTCCGATGAGATAACAAGACCATTTGGTGTTCCAATTGATTTTTTGAGTGATTCAAGAAACCATATCCATGATTGTGTGATATGCTATTGGAAAGATAGAATTGTTACCGTCAATACCAGTTGTAGCGGCTAGTACACCATTAAACTTTCCTTTTAAATGACAAGCATCAAGACCAATATGCTGACGACAACCAGCAACAAACCCTCTAGAACAAGTTGCTAAACAAATAAAAAAAACATTTTGAAGAGTTTCTTTCCACCAACTATATCATAGTCAATTTCAACAACGCTTCCTTCGTTCATTTGTAATTAATAGTTCTTCTCTAAATTCATCCATCTTCATGAAAGAGTCTTCCCACTTACCATACATATCGGTATAAGCTTGTTATTTCCCTCTAAAACTTTTAGGTACGGCACATCAACATTGTAAGTTTTCGTAATCCAATTTCTAAGCTCATATGGAGAGACATCCCCATCAGATTTCAACTTGTCAGTTACTACATTAGCAATCCAACCTTGAGTGGCACGCTTATTGCCACCCTTGTTGCTTCGGGTGCAAGTATGTACTTCTACCATTTTCTTAACCTAAAAAAAACTTAAATAAACATAAATATACTTTTAATATATAGCATGTTAAATATAACTTAAGGTATACACTTACTTCAAAGGTAACTTCATCTTTTGTAATAGAAGCATGAATTCTCCAACACCTTGTTGTGAATCATGTCGGGTCACTTTTCAGAATGTAGTAGTTAAACTCATTTGTGACTGCAAAGTGGTTCAAAGCTCTCCTAAAATCAACCATATTTTCAAATTTTGAGCCGACTTCCATCATCATCATTCATTAGATCGTATTCATTATCAAAACTGAGATGACTATGATAGGTTTCTTCACTAGGACAAAGGTATCCATCATACTCATCGTGTGGTTCATCTCTGTTGGCACACGAATGGTTAGTATGGTTATTGGAGTTGATGTTATTATATGTTGTCACATAAATGGTTGCTTGTTTCTCGCTTCCATACATGCTAAGCATAGCCATAAACTTTTCATCAGAATCAAGCGCAATAACGGATTTGTCTGGTGCATACTTGTCAGCATAAAGAATAGAAAATTTTGGGTTGTTCTTTGATGAATAACGTTTTATAACTTCTTCATGTAGTTGACTTAACTTGTATAAAGTTGTGTCTATGTGGATACATTTTTGAGAACCAAAGCAATATATTTGCCAACAATTGTTCTTACTTAGCCGAAAGTAACCCCCATATTTCAATTTTAACTTGAACTTGGATGTTGGTATACGTCTGAAATTGAATTTAATTAGAGAAACAATCATACAATTTTGTAAAGGTTTAATAAATTAAAATTAAGATATTCGCATAAACATACTCGATTATTGGAGATGTAGCCCAACTTTCCCATATTGGTTTTGATGTGTCATGAAGGGTAATATCTTCTGTTTGAGAATGATCTTCCGATATGGTTTGTATCGCCTCTAAAACATAATTTTAAGTCGGCGATAAGAAAAACAGATATAAAGGTATAACAAATACCAAACCTATGCTTTATAATTCACTTATTAACCAATAATCATTTGAATTGATTACAGTTTCATAATCCAGACACCATAACCCACATAAGGCATTATACTTTCAGATAATTTGCAACAAATAACATCCTTTGATGTATGAACCAAAAAACAGCAACCAACACACTATAAAAGATTCTTTTTTTACTAGTGCTAATGTAACTTAAATAAACGTAAAGAATTAATGGATTACATTGAAGTGGGGCCCTCACTAACATGACTTCAAGTATTCGAGATAGTTGTAATCAATGGCGGATCCACCATGGAGCCTGGGGGCTCCCAGGAGCCCCCTAAAAAAAATTTACTACTATATATTTTTCAGAACATTTTTTGTTATGCCTTTAAACCCCAAAAAATAATTTGGGCTACCTTAATTTTTTATTTTTTGTAGGTTTTTTCTAAATGATCAATCCACATACAAAGTAGTCAAATTTTATTAAGCTCAGTTTTCAAGTGCCCAACATAAAATTAGTTTAATTTAACAATTAACACAAAATTTAGCCCAATACAAAATAAAATTCGGAAATAAGAAATCAATCGACGATTCGATGCTGACTCCCAACTTCACTTCCGACTCTCCCTGTGACGTACGTTGTCGTTGCTGCTGCCCTTCCTTCTTCTGCCGGTGATCGGTCATCGGCGGTGGGTGTTTTCCAGCAAAATCCCACGGTGGCTGGTGGTGGGTGATTATTGATCAAAGTTGTGGTACAATGAAGGTATGTGTCATTGTGTATATTACATGATTTTTTTTCTTATTTTATATTACACGATTTTTTTTCAGGATACCCATTTACTAAAACCCTAGCTCCGCCACTGGTTGTAATTCAAGATTGTAAATATAATAGCTTCAAACATCAAGATCACACAAAATTGACACAATGGAAAGAATTCAAGATTGTAATCAAGTATAAGTTTTAATATATTATTCGCATTAATTATAGTTTTTTAAACTGTGAAAAGACTTGCATTTAAATCTCTGCCAGTTGTAATTCAAGATTGTAAATACAATTGTTTGAAACATCAAGATATCAGAGTTTCAACACATTCACGTGAACAAATTAAACAACATCAAAAACAAAATTAAAGAAAGGGAAAATAGGAATAGGGTCACCTTTGGTTTATCACGCATTCTCAAAAGTTATTAAGCTATTCATCAGTTATAATCATGAACTGAATGTTCAGTTTACAAAGAAAGCCAAAAATTAACATGTAGTTGATTGCATCAGGGAAGGGAAGAGGCGAGAAGGCAACAACAAAGTTCGACGTTGTATGATTGTTGATCGATGAAGACGCAAGGGATTACAATCGATGAAACAGAATGCGATTTAATTGTTCACATGAATGTTGAATTGGAATTTAGAAGCAAGGGCAAAACTGTCCATTTCAAATTTTTTAGTTTTAATGATTTTAAAATGATAAAAAAAGATTATAAAACAATTTAAACTGTTTAAAAAATAGATTTTGGTATATATGATATTAAAAAACATTAAGAAATACATACGATATTTAAAGTTTAAGTCGGACAAATACGATATTTACATCATGTTTAGGAAAAGCATATACAAAATTCTGTCTCTTTTAAAACTTAAACTTAAATAGCGAAATAAGAAGTAAAGTGACCAAATTCAACCTTGACCGCTAATCCATATATACTGCCATGTAAAACCGTGCAGGCAAACTCAGCAGATTACTGGTTATACCCAATCAAAATGACCATTTCATGAACAAATTAAAAGCTATGTAACCTTTTAAATCTAAGACTTATTTAAGTGACCAAATAAGCACTACCCAAAAATTAAGCGACCAGATTTGACCTCATAAGGCAAAACTTAAAACAACTAAACAATATCATCACATAGAACGAGACAACTTAATTGTACTTATTCAAACAAATCACATTCCTAATTTTTCAACAATATCCCCACAAATTCATTATTTTCTCAACACCATGAACAAAACAACACAAGCATATATGAAAACAGAGGCAAAATCCAAAAAATCCTTACTTTTTGGATGATATAATCGTAGAACATGACAAATACAATAAGAATAACTATAATCTAAGATTTTAAAATTTTAAAATCGCTCAAAAGAAAAAGAAGCTAAAAGGGATTCTTCAAGCTCTTTGAAACCTCTGTATACCGTCTCTATTTGGCTCTGTGGTAGATTCAACCTCCGTACTTCCGTCACATACCTACACACAAGGGGTAAAAATGTAATTACACATAACATCAAAAAAAAAAAAAAAAAAGTTAAAAGTTGAATGAAAAATATACCGATTTGCAGCACTTGCAATCTTATCACGAATCCCATGATGAATAGCAGTTCTCTGATCCATAGAAAAGGTCCCGCGAAGAAGTGAACCACCAATGGAAGCCGCCCCTGTTCCGGTTGCAGAAACGGACACCGCCCATTCCCGGACCACCACCAACACCGACCTCAAAAGCCTTAATTTTAAAGTGGGTGACAATAAAATAACACCACTTGATAACAACTGATCATAAGTATTCAACACAGGTTCCACTGCCCCTTTGCAAGCTGCCATAAGTGCCCTTGCCACATCCTCATCTCCAACACCTTCCACCCCCGTAACCACTCGCTCCTACCAAAAAATATATATATTAAATTAAACTAAATTGTGTTTAATGAAACAAATAATATTTTGGTAGTAGTTCATACCAATGCAGCTTTCTCAAGGTGTAGACATAATGTGTCTAAAGGAAGAACAGCACTGTCTCCAGGGTAAATGTGGGACCCGATTCTTTTGAGAACAGAACATGCTTCAGCAATTCCGCCCTTGGAAAGTGCTTGATCCATTAGTCTTGCCCATGTGTCACGTACTATGTTGCTATCTGTGTCACCTGAATAGCTTGCAAAATATAGCATTTCCAAACATATCTACAGATAAAAAATTTAATATTAGTATATTCCAAAATCTAATATGATATTATATTAATGATGTTGTATATGATATATGATATATATGTATACCTCCCAAAGTTCAAAAGGAACGGCGTATTCGTTATATAACTGGGTGATGCTTTTTAAATCAAGAGATAACTCCTTGACTTTTTCTTTAACAGAGTTGAGATTTGAATTGTTTGTGTTTGATGTGCTAGGAGAAGCTTCAATTCTTGAGACAATTCCTTCCAATTCCTCTTTGATTTTAATTTGGAATTGAAGAACTGTTAGTTTTCCTTCAAGTAAATCTAATAGCCCGCTGTCTCTTGATGAATTTGTGAGGCTGTCATTCCCACTTGCACTTTTTGCCTGAATCACCGCATTGCTCAAGTATTGTCGCCTGAATATATTTTTTTTTAAATAATAATATTAAAATGTTAGATAAGAGTAATTTTTTTTAAAGGGTGTTGTTACTTGTTAGTTTGTGTATAATAACCTTTGGTCAAGTGTGGGGTGATTTTCTAGACCAGTAGAACGTCTTTCTGCTAACCGAAGTAGAACATGAGCTGCTAAAATATGTTGTCTTTTTAACACGTAATATCTTGCTAAAAGCTCAGAATATTTTGTTTGATGAGAGGAAATTTGTGCTCCAGAAACACCCCGGACCTATATAGTTATAAAAAAAGATTATTTAGTGAAATTTTAATTAATGAAAAAATATATATATAATAAGAATAAAACCTGTTGTGTAGGTTCACGGGCAGCATTCTGTAAAAAAGGAACCAAATCGGATCCACCAAACTCCAAAAGTTCATCTTCAAGCCCCAAATCAATCAATGTTTTGTATAAATATTGATGAAAGATTCTGTCAGATGATTGGACACCGAGTTGAATGATTTGACATATGAATTTCTTCCGGGCAGCTGGGGCAAGGGAATGGGCAGATGGTCTGATGGGTGACCCGAATTCCCTTTGTGAAATTTCACCTTTTAGTGATCTTAAAGCACTAGCAATAACCTCATAACACCTTTCTCTTTGAGCAAGTGCATGTGCTCTAATTCCATCATCTATTTGCTCATTAAGGGCATCCCCATTAGGGTCCAAAGCCTCTGCCTTTTGAAGTGGCAATCGAACCACTGCTTCATAAAATCTGCATTTTTTTTCTTGTTAGTTTTGCAATTAGAAAACTGGTTTAATACCAAAATAGCCCTTACATTTTTGGCACAAAAAGACACAAAGTTGTTTGTTTATTTAAACTAGTAACGCCAAAGAAAACTTGTTATAGTATTAAGTTATTAACCATTGAGCTGGTTGAGATGATGACATGGATTACCTAAAAGGGGTTAATTCAAGAAAGCCCTTACATTTGATACATTTTTTTAAAAGACAGATGGTTATAAAAAAAATCATTTAAACCCAGACATGGATTTTTTTGAGAAAGACAAAAAGTTGATTTTTTTCATTTTAACATGGGAACTTTTGATGACATGTCAAGTTGACTCACTGGACAAACTTATTTATATATACAATCAACTTTTCAAATATATAAAAAATGTCTAGTCACCTTGCCATGTCATAAAAAATTTGGGTCAAAATGAAAAGAAAAAGAAATTTTGGATTTTTCATAAACATGCCAAAATGTTCATGAAATTCCAGGTCAGCATCTCAACTGGCTCAGTGGGTAAAGAAAAGGGTTAGAATAACAAAATTCCTCAGAGTTAAAGGTCTAAATGGAAAAAAAACAACTGTCTTTTTCCTAAACCGTGTCAAAATATAAGGGCTTTTTTGGAATTAACCTTACAAACCTATATAAATAATACAAGAAAAAAGAAAAACCTCAAGTCCTCAAAGCGTTTGCAGACAGTTTGAAGATCTGCAGATTCAGGAACACCACTTAATTTACTGAAAGCATCTCTTGCAAGTGTTTCCCTTTCTTCATTGTTAGAAGCATTAGCAGCTTTTTCAAGACATTCAACAGCTAAATAGAATTTGTAATCAGATTCTTTGTAAAAACTTGGACATCCTTCACGTAACCTTCCGCTGATGTCATCAACTGTTCCCCTACCATCTGGCCCGGTGTAATACTATGGAAATCAAGAATATAATGTAGAGAGACACACTTAAAATATATGGAGTATTAAAGGGCTCATTGGTAATTTACTTACCTCCATTAGAGAAGATACAAGTCTTGTTGCAAGTTTGTCACCTTCTTCAGAACAGGCTAACTGGTGGAAAGTCAACTGAGTCAACGTCTGCTTTGTTTTATGGTCAAAGCCTTGAAGCAACCGAGTGACATGGTGTCGCGAAAGAAGTTGGAGGAGAAATAGAGCTTCACCACATCTTAGGAGCAATTGTCTTACACACTCCATTGCCCTTACCTACAAGGTTTGACTAGTCAACATCTTTCAAATCCAACAAGATTAACTAAAAATGGATCAATTTGGGTTATACTTCATGGACAATCACAAACATGACCAATATTTGTGCTCCCATTTAACAAATTGACCCCTTTTTTACCTTTTTAACAAAATAAGCATCTATAGTTTTTAAAAAGATAAAAAAAATTGGTGGGTCAACCATGTATTACAAAAAAAACCCATTTTTACCCCTTATTTTGCCACCACTGAGAACTATTATGAAAGTCAAAAAGTCAAATTTACCTCCATGGAAGCTAGTTCTGTAGGGCTGTAAGGAAGTCTCTGCCTTTTACTAGATGTCCCAATTTCACTAGCCTCCAAATTCCTAGAATAAGGATTAAAAAAATTCCTTGCCAAACCCATATTACCACTTACCAAATCGCCACCTGTCCCAATCAAAATCGAACCAGTCAAATCACCCAAACCACCAACACTCCCATAAATCCCCCTCCTTTGATTCCTTCTAGACCTTAAAAACTTCTCAACACTTCTAAGTTTATCTTCTAAAACTCCCATTGCATCAACAGAAAGCCTACACCCAACAATCCCATCTTTACTTCCATCAGAAACCATAACAGGAAGCTCCCACACAGGCAAAAGTAGCCTTGAAGCACACAAACAAACCCCTTCATGAGCCCCTGAAAACACCGGTTCAGCTTCTTGTACAACTTGTCCCATACTAAACCCACCAAGGGCAGTTCTGGTATTTCCCAATGCCACACCACTACCTTCAAGTTGAGGCACCCCAACAACTCGTGGATCCTCAAAAGCCTCAGCTGCCTTTTCAGCCACAACATTGTTTATAAAACTTTCCGTATGAACTACCCTTGAAGCCAACATTAAACACATAGCAGCAGCTTCACCAGCTCCAAATCGGTTAAAAAAATCTTCCAATATTGCCCTTGGTGTGTTGGACTCCAACAATTTTCTTAAAATATCAACCGGACGATTAAAAACAACTTCCATCATTCCCATTGTACTAAAAACAATGATTCGTCTCCTCGGGAGTATATGCTGAGTTGGCAGGTCGCCTCTCGCCCAAAGTTTTCCGGCCAACTTTTCTGGCGACTCGCCGGAATTGTCATATCCGGAAAACTCTAACTGTGAGTAGAGTGACTGGACAGTGGCGGCTGTTTCAGGTAAGGGTAACACCTCTGCTACAGCTAACATCCGGCCTTCAATTGGTAAAGAAGAGACACATTCCCGTAATGCCCTTGAGCTTCTGACACCTGTCCCTAAATTAGAAGAAGAGTGGGTGGTGGAATCGCGATTCACTATTAAAAGTGAGGAAGTGGTTGAAGGAGATGAATCAGAAAGTACAAGTGTTGCAGATGAGTAATGTGCTGATTCTATCTTTAAAGAAAGATCTTCATTTTGAGCTCTGGAAAATGACCCAAATGACCCTAGAGGAGGGGCAGGTCTTGTTGTGACAACTTTTAAGCAACTTGGTTTTTGAAGATTACTACTAAATGCTCCTCCAACACTCCCACTGTTTTTAGTAGTGGAAAGATACATTCGTCTACCATCTGATAATATTGCAACAAGATGTAGCCATTTTGACTCTACTGTTGATAAAGGGGATATAGAAACTATAGAAGCTTTTGTTGAACGTGTGGCACCCCGAGATCCTGCCACCTGTCTAGTAGTGTTATGTAGATCCCTTTGATTGATCAGATTTTTTTCTTCTGTCACCTTTTTAAGTGGTCCTTCACCATTTTCACCTAATGAAAAAACTTGAATCTTCATTTCTTCAGTTCGGGCATACAAAATGTGTCTCTCATTGTCAACAGCCATTTCAACAATGGGGTCCACAGCACCAAATTTGAATACATTTGGTACCACCCACCTGAATTTGAACAAAAAAGAACATTAAGAATAGGAAATAACTAAATTTGCAGGATTTATACAGAATAATATTTATACTTTATACCTTGAAACAACACTACCAAGGCCTGAAGTCAAACAAACTTTCCTGCATTGTTTGTGCCAATTTGAACCAGAGGTATAATGCATCTCATATATATGTCCATCACGTCCAGCTAAGAAAATATGACCTTTATTTGTACAAGCAATAGATGTCATGGTGACTCCATCAGATGGAATTGTGTGATCAGGTAAAGGCTGTAATGACACCTCAGCATAAGGATCTGTGCCATCACCATTTCCAGAGCAACATACTCCAATGAGAAGCAACTAACATACATAAATGAAAGATGTCAGTAAATTGAATAATTAGTAAGAAAAGATACAAGTTATGAAGTTATTACCTCAACAGGAGTTGCCAAGACTAGAAGATATTGAATAGCTTCAACAAAAACCCCAGTTTTTGCTTTCACTAAACCAACAGCACAGATGGCTTGTTCTTCACCACTGTATTCGGGACATTGGCTATCCCTAAATGAAAAAAGTTTAAGCCAAATTCAGGAGAAGAATTGTGAGGCTATGTCATTGAAAGAGTAATGAAATTACTTACCATTTATCAAAACGCCAAAGAAATAATGAATTATCTACGGATGCCCATGCTCTACGAATCTCAGGAAAGATTCCACATAAAGCAGTGCCTTCACCTCCAGCTGCATTGTATCTTTCTATGAGTACTGGTGGCAACTCCCTGCTATCTACCACTTCAACTAAAGGAGGCCACTGCAATAAGATGAGGCTACATTAATGGGAATTTTAATGATCAACTTTGTATGTTTTGTGGTATTTATAATTCATTGAGATGTGAATTCAAGCATCAAGTCATCAACCAGAAGGTCCAGAACCCAATGTGGTTAATTCAGATGCATTCAGCTAATGCTTTAAAAATGCAACTTTTCGCAAATTCATTCCTTTTTAGTACTTTTAAACAACTATAAGGTATTCAGCACTTCATCCTCAGAAATTTTCAGGATTCCCATCAACTCTAAAGTTGAAAACCGACACGTATAACATCCGAACTTCACATGCTTTTCTTACTAGAAAAAAGAGGGTGTATTTGCTTCCAATGAATACCCAAACACGTAAATCGATAAAAAGTAAGAGTCTCAATACCCAAAAACACAAATAGAAATATTAATGAAACAGCGATTTCAGGGTTACCTCTCTGGGGTGAGTAGAGTAAGGATGACTTGTATATCTCGACGCTTCTAGGGCTTCTTCTAGGTCAAGCTGAGCCGAAACATCTCTACCGATACGGTCGCTCACTACAAGACTTGCTTTGGTGATATCTCGCATTACAATCTCGTTTTCCCAAGACATCTTCGTCTTCCTCGGAGAATGCTACACGATACTGAAAGATTGATAATAAACAAATCTAGAATAACACGGAACTATATCGATAATAGTCCAAATTGCATTCGATCTCTAGGGTTCTGAGATTAGCATTGAGAGAAGTAGAGTAACCAGGGATTTTTGAACGATTGGGTGATGGCTACGGGGGGTTTTACGTGAATTCTTCAGGAGAGTTGGTAGGGTTTTTGTGAAATTGGGGATTTATGGTGTTCTGTAAAATAGTGGCGGGCAAATTAAGCTGTGTTCAAAGAGAAATTTCCCAAATTGTATGGGGCCAAATTATTATCCTTTATAACATTTACCAATTTGTTTATTTTTTACATCACGTTAAAAAAAATGTTATTCTACCGGATAAAATTTAACGGTTGTTTGATATTTCTATTGACTTATATTTGATTTGAGTTAAATGTTTACTAAGTCCGAGTGAAATCATGTTGTTTGATTACGTATCTAAGTAACAATGTTGAATGCTCATAATTACCATTTTACCTTTACAAAATATATTTATATAAAAGCATATTTTTTGTTAAATTGCAAATATTCATCAAAATACATTAAATCCTTATTACAAATTTATTGATTTAAAACATGATTGAATTCCTAAATAAGTACAAACTGATAGTCTTTTTCTTTGTTCCAAAACTATGAGTAAATATTCAAAAGTAGTACCTACGATCATACACATAATACTCATATATTGCATTCTTCAAGATTACAAAATGGTGATGATCTCTTCGATTAAGTTGCAATCAAGGTATAGTGAATATCATATATCGTACATTATTTGTTGGTTCATACTTAACCACATTTGTATCACAAAATGAAATATACTAGCATTAATTGATTGATAACTCAACATCCAACCAAGGCCATGCTACTATAAAATGAACTTGAAGCAACTATTGTGAACTACTTTTGAAAAAAAAATGATATAGCTAAGGAGAAAAGAGTTGATATTAGCAATCCAAACAAACCATTAAATGAAAAAAAAAAAAAGTTTAACGAAGACAACTAAAAAATTAGATCTATGAAGAATACATAATTGATAATTTCAATATGTTAACCTCAACATACAGAATAGATATGTCAACCCATTTGCAAAAGTCACACAAAAATGAAATAAGAGAGGTTTAATTCATTTAATTGGAGAAATCCACACCTGCAAAAATTAGATTCAATAAGAGAAGGGGCCGTTTAAATTATTTGTTCCTTAACACCTAGAATTCGATTTCAATGTGGCATTTTATGAAACACATTTTCTGCAGGGAAAGAAATATTAAATTTCACTGTAATAAATTTTTGAGCTCAAATTCCATATTTGGATATAAATTAGTCAAAACATGAAAACAAATATTAAAAATTAGATAATGAAGAACAAACTTGCAAGAAAATATACCTTAATTTTGACACCTTTAATACAACTCTTAAATGAAGTGGAAGGCGGTCGGAGCTCATGTAGGCATCAATAGACGGGAACGGCGAAGGCGTCGGTCGGACGAGGGAGGAACGATCCAAGTGTTGGAGGTGGGATTTGCCTTTGGAGATGTCAATGGTAGCATATAAGAAGAATCACGGGCAAGAAGAAGGAGAAACCAAGAAAGACAAATAACGACAACGAATGTGTTTTTATCCGGTCAACGAATTTTTTTGGGGACCGATTCAGCGACTCCACGACCGAGTAAGAGGTATCAAACATACTCATTTGGATTGGGTCAAATTTAACATCTTACTAGACTCGGTAAGAGATATATCAAACACAGACTCAATTGTGTTTTAAAGAAAAAACTTTAATATATTTTTTTCTTTCTTTGCAATCTCTCTCTCTCTCTCTCTCTCTCTCAAGAAAAACATTGACTCTTTAAAAAAACCTTAGACACCACTAACACCACCATCAAATAATCATCGCACCACCCTCCATAAACCCTAGCACACAGTCGCATCTTTTCTACACGGTTGTTAGATCTAAACTACCACTCACCGCCATCGCATTGTGTTCTCCGCCTTTCCTTTCTAACAGTTTGATTTCTTATTGGTACATATATGCTTTTCTATCAAATCTAGATTGTTGATGCAAATAATAGTTGTTGCACTTTTGGATTTGATTTTTCGTTTGATAATACCTTTTATGGTTTTAAATTTCTGTTTTTTTTTTTCATCATTTCCAGTTTTATCTATTGATTTAAAGGCAAACCCAACACCAAACAATAAATATTTTAGATGATAACTTAACACCTTAAGACCAAAGTTAAGTACTTTAAGCATGAGGCATAATATCAGGCAACGCTAGTTGTAAATACCTAAACACGTGTCATTTAACTCTCCTTCATATTATTTCATAAATTTTGTGTTTTAAGTCTAATCATCATACTAAGTACCTAGGTGGCTTAAACCAAATCTCTTATACCTATTGAAACACGTATGGGCTAGTTTGAAATAGTAATTTTAAACATCTTTTAAAGTTTTTAAAACCATTAAAATAGTATTTTTAAACATCTTTTAATGGTTATTCAATGGATTCCTAAGCCTAGTTTGTGATATAATTTGGTTCTAGATCTAGTGGAACATCAAGTTATTTCATAAATTAGTTTAGATGATCATTATGAATCATGATTGATAGAAATATAGTGTAGGTTGAAGCTAATGTTTCATCCAGACGTTTATGTGGTTCATGAAATAGGTTTCAGAACCTATTTCTTTCCATTTCCAAATAAAAATAAATAATCATTGATGATAATTTATTTCAACTAATTAGTAACTTTGTCTTATTCATAGGTATTACGTTTGAAGTTTAGGCCCCCGAAATATAAACATACATTCTTTATCTAATATTTGAACCTTTGTTTGTGTTATAGATATTTCATATATGGTTTAGGACCCAACATATAGAAAGACAGAGTAGATATGCAAGACATACTCCATTCGACCGAGTAACAGTTAAAGAGAAAAATATTGTTTCATGCAAGGTCGTCAAATCGATTATTGTTTCTTCCGGCGCCTTCCTATGATCTCAACGATTATATGTAACGAATAAAACGAGTTGTTAAAGGATAAGAACTTTGATTAGAAGGATTAGGGGTATTTAGTTTCTAATTACTTAATTATTGTTAACCTTGGGTGACTAGTAAGTGCTCAAACAACACTAGAAGCATAGCGATGTTCTTATACTTGACAAGGCGAGTTTATACCCATGAATACATATATATATGCCTTGCACTTGCTAAGGTGAGTCTATTACTTTGAAATGCTTTTTCCCAAACTCCTGATGTAACGTCTCATTTTCGCAACCGAAAATTTTAATTTTTATTAGAGTAAAACTTTCCAATTATAAATCCATTATTGAGAAAAACGTTTATTCCAACATACATTTATTGAAAATCAGATTCATATTAAAGCGCGAAATCTCCATTGTTGTTGTTGATGCATGTGTACAGTCACACATTTGTCTTCCTATGATAACCGATGATACCTGAAACAATAAACAACTGGGTAAGCACAAAGCTTAGTGAGTTCCCCCCCCCCTAAATACCTCATACAATAAACATACAAGCATGCATAACGCCCCACAATCATCAGATTGGAATACCCATGCCCAATCAGTTGCAGACTGGAATGCCAACATGCAACGCGTCCAATCAGCCATCTGGCTGGCTCTCAAACCTTGTCTGCATAGTTCTTTTCTTTCACAACATCTACAACAATGTTCACTTAACCAGGGTCGTAAAGTATCTCCATGTCATAATCCTTCAATACATCAAGCCACTGACGTTGTCTCATATTCAACTCTTGTTGATCTATAAGATACTTAAGGCTCTTATCGTCAGTGTACATCGTGCACTTCACTCCGAACAGGTAGTGCCTCCAAATCTTTGGGGCGAACACAACAACCCCAAGCTCTAACTCATGAGTTGGGTATCTAGTCTTGTGCAACTTAACTTGTCATGATGTGTGCGCAATAACCTTGCCCCTCTGCATAAGCATTGGCCCCAATCCAAGCAATGAAGCATCACAATAAACTGTCATATCATCCACGCATTATAGTAATGTCAACACCGCAGCTTCGCATAGCCTTTGTCTCAAAGTCTGAGAAGCCCACTGATGATCATCTCTGTAACAACCCAAATTCACTGTAAATATTTAGGGATTTATCGGAGTTTTTTAAACATACTTCCTAGTGAATAACGACCCGAATTTTTCACGCTAAATATCCAAGATTTGCAAGTAGCCTTTGAACTTATGCTTCAGATGCAATCAATCTAGGCTCATCAGGTCATAGTGCCCAAATAGGACCGACCAACAGGTTGTGGCTCCTGCTCTTGTCACATTGAGGATCACATATGGCAGGCATAAAAAGACCAAAGTGTCGACGCTCGGATGTAGGGCATATCAACTTACGGCCACAGAGGTTGTCGCCACCCCAGATGTCGTTACAGGTATATACTATTCCCTACTATCCATAATTTAAATTTAAATGGTATACTTAATTATGTGTTTACAGGTACACTTTTCTGTAAATTCTATGCTTTCTTTTATGCTTTTTCGACTCAGGATCGAGTGAATCTTTCGTGTTTCTTGCTTTTAGCAAAAATATTATCATTTCTTCCGGGGTGCTTGACTCGCTGATGTTAGTTGAGGTTGTTGGTGATATAACATATGTTATTCTTTTTGCTTTTGGGAAACGACAAATGATTCAGTGGAAGTCTACTTGTAATTTTTTGTTGGGTTTTGAGCATTCTAACACTCATATGGTGTACATGCAACCCTATAAACCTTGGATCTATGTTTTCTCTATTATACATACAAATATTAAATATTCCAAGGTTTCATCCTAACTAGCATATTATGAAGCACCTATACTACAAAGTTCTAGTTAGATGACATACATTTTGATGTAGCTTGATGTCTTCAAGCTTTAAGAGCTTAGCCCCAATAGTGTGGAAGCCTCAAATGGAATCACAAATCACCAAAACACCTTGGAAGAACTTGAGAGAATATGTATGCACACTAAAATCGGCCCACTCTTATTTTCACACACTTGTACCAATTTTGTGAGCCAAGGACCCCTTTATATATTATGGAGGATTAGGGTTACATCCATGTAAACCCTAATACCCATGACCTTTCATTTACATAGGATCCATGGGTTAAAAGCTCTATGGACCATCCATGAAAGCTTAGCCCAACCTAAATGAACTTGGCCCATTCCATATATATAAGAGTCCATATTTAATGAGTTCTTTTTTATCACTTAATTAATTCTAAATCA